TATTAAATTACCTGTCTATTAAAAACCTTTATGCAAAAGAATCAGAAATTGCACCTGTACAGCAATGCAATTTTTGCACAACAGAGTGAGATGTGACTTATTTAGTCTGGAAAACACTACTTTAAAAATGTAAGTAAAACTATTGTCAGTGTATATAAACATTAGATTTGATTGTTCCCATCTTGCCTGTTATTTTCTACCTAAACTTAGTAGAACCCCAATATAGGTCCTGTGCAAATTCAACAGTGAAACCAAGATTCATCACCTCTTCAAGACCAAAGCTTTTCTATTTCTATCTATTCTTTTTTTTACTTCATCTCCTTCATCCATAGACTATTTGCACATTTCGCACCTTTTCAGACTCTTTCTTTCACTTGTCTGAACTACTATCCACCTCAACAGAACAATTCAAATAAACAGCTAAGGCAAGCATGAGGTTATTCCCGCACCGTACAGACATAAACAATACCTCAAATCATGTGGCTTGTTGACTACTACATATATTATTTGAGTATTTGAGTTTTTGTGATCCAGTCACTAAAACCACATTCAGAGGTCAACGAAAATTCATGTGCAAGAACATCCAAACCTGTTTCCTCCCATCAGAAGTACAACCACAATTATAAACACTTGAGGGCACAATTTAAGATGAAAAGAGCAGAAAACACTTCATCCACCCAGACAAGTGTGCTTGATTAGGGTAGTATCCAAAAATGTGGCCTGTAACTACTGGACTGGGTTTTTAGAGAGTATAATGTCTGAAATGTAAAGTGTTTGAAAGACGATGTTATATTTTTACTTCAGTCAAATGCTTCACAGTATTGTATACATTACGGTTTGGGTTATGTGACCATTGAATTAGTTTTTATTTACTTTAATTTTATGTGGCTAATGTTTTGTTATATTTTAATATAAAAATTGGCAAAAACCTTCAGGCATGCAGTTATACCTTTTATCAATCAAGAATGTAATTAAAAACTTTTTTTTTTTTTGATCTAGGATAAAAAAAAAAACAAGTACAAATTAAATTGAGCTATATAACTCAACTGACCCGACAAAAGAATATAAGTTGGGAAATGTGTGACCTTACTCAGAAATTTTAGTTGATTAAACTTCCTTGGTTAAAAGTAGAGCTAAAAAATAAAGTAATAAAGATTATATATATATATATATATATATATATATATATATATATATATATATATATATATATATATATATATATATATATATATATATATATATATATATATATATATATATATATATGTATGTATGTGTGTATGTATGTGTGTATGTATGTATGTATGTATGTATGTATGTATGTATGTATGTATGTATATATGTGTATGTATGTATGTATGTTTGTATATCTCTGAGGTGAAAAAACATAAAAAACAAAAAAGGTCACATTAAATTAAACTATAAAAACTCAATCGATCCAACAAGAGAATATATGTTGGGATACTGTACGTGACCTTTCTTGGAAATTTGAGTTGAGTCAACTTCCTGGATTAAAAGTTAAACTAGCTAAAAAAAAATTATAATAATAAATAAGGGATGAAAAACATGACAAGTTCACATTAAATTAAAATATAAAAACATAATTGATCCAACAAAAAACGATAAACATGAGAAACGTGACCTCACTCGAAAATTTGACTTGAGTCAACATCCTGGGTTAAAAGTTGAGCTAGCAAAAAAAATTTTTTTTAAATAATAATAAAAAAAAGATATTAAGTAAAAAAGAAAAAAGAAATTAGAGGTTAAAAATGTGAAAAGTTCACCATAAATTAAACTATAGAAACATAATCGATCCAACAAAAGAATATAAGTTGGGAAATGTGGGACCTTACTCAAAAATTTGAGTTGAGTCAACTTCCTGGATTAAAAGTTGAGCTAGCTAAAAAAATAAATAAATCAGGGATGAAAAAACATGAAAAGTAGATATTAAATAAAACTATATAAACTCAAATTGACCCAACAAAAGAATATACGTTGAGAAAAATGTGACCTTACTCAGAAATGTGAGTTAACTTCATGGGTTAAAATTTGAGCTATAGCTAAAAATAAAATCAGGGATTAAAAAAAAAAAGAACAAAAAAAAGTTCACACTAAATTAAACTATAAAAACTATGAATACATTGACTCAACAAAGGAATAGAAGTGGGAAAATGTGACCTTACTTAAGTTTGAGTTGATTCAACTTTCCTTAATTAAAAGCTGAGCTAACTTTAAAAAAAAGCTGTGCAGCAAGTTGACTTACATTTATAAGTTGAGTCAATATTTTATTTTAACTTTTATTATTTAATATTTTGCAGTTGGTTGTTGGATGAATAGTTGGCAATCTCCTCCTGGATATGGTGACAGGAATGATGATATCGATGAAATAAAGAGAGAAAAATGAGGATAAAAATAAAGAGCTAAGCAGTTAGAATCACTTCCGACAATTATCCTGCAGACGCATCAGGAGAGCGACCTCAATGTGGAGGAGTGGAGATGCCATTACTCTTCATCAGTCAGTCAATTGTCCCTAAGTGGTCTCAATATACTTCTTTTATATATAATTATGGCAAAAGCAGCATCTTCTCATAACTATTCTGGTGCAAAGTAGAAGTCTGAAAATATCTCAGCTTATATGAATAAAGGTGACACTAGGTTTTTAGCATGCAAAATCATTTCAGATCCTCCAACAGGAAATCATACGACACCCTGACATGTACTGTATTTAAGTATTAGTAATATTATTGACTAATGTTAAAATGTTTATCTGATTTATGTACAATGCAGTGTGTACAGTAATATTTTCTGTCTTTTATTAGATATATTATATGACAAACTTGCTTTGTTTATAAAGTGAATCTAAATGGATTTGCATTTTAACCATTAAAAGTTTAATAGATATTATTTTTTATTTCATATATTAAAGTTTTAGTTGTGATACTCCCAAAATGATTCCGCAGAAATCCGCAGACTTTTGCCAAAATTCTCCGCAGAAATAGCAAAAAACGTCCGCAGATTCCGTCTGGCCCTAGCCATGTCTTATAACGAAAGCAATAGGTGACCTATTATTTAAAAGCTGAATTTGTTACGTCTTCAAAGCTTGTGAAAACAAATAACAAAGCCTACGTTAAAGCTTTTAATTTATAGTAAGTTATTTAATAAGTATCTGTACTGTATATGACATGGGCCTGTTGGTTAGAACATTTCTTCAATAATTTGCATCTGTCAAATTGTAAAAGTAGACTTTAAAAAAATTAATAAACAAGCAATATCCTACTTAATAATCGTCATCATCGTTAATAGTATTAGTAATATTATTAAAGTAGAACGTCTTTCATTTCCTAATAAATAATAAATATTATATTTCATTTCTTAATATATATTTATATATATGATTTTTATATGAGATTAGAATAGGTGTTAGCTTTCGTAAGTGATTTTATGTTGTAGAATAGAATATGTAAAGTTCTCAGTAATATTTGTAAAGGATGAGTAGGCTCTATATGTGCAATTTACATATATTTCTATTAATATGGAAAACCAGTGCATGTTTTTACCAAAACTAATATTGGATTTTTTTTAAAAATGCGTGTCCGTGTAAAACAATATAATTTGTACAAAAAAATGATGGGGTTCTTCTCTAAAGAAGTTATTGTTCAACCTGTTTAGAGCATCATTATGGATGTTTTATGTTATAACTAACGTGGCTCAAATGATGGATTTGCGACAGAGAAACTGCAGGTTTTGGGAAACACTTATCAGTACATCGTTCTTTTCCTAAACAATCCATCTTACTATAATTCAGCCGCAAGTTACGTCATTGTTTGGGAAACGTTCCCCTGAACAGCAAACTACAGATAGCTAAAATGGACAAAAACACAGATGAATATTGACTTCAGTTTTAAATGTCTCCTTTTGTCCTCATACTTTTTAAAATTTGCACTTACAAGACAAAACTTGCAGATCATTTATATTAGTATTATATTTAGATCAGCTCATAACAGACACACCTTATTTCAGAAAATAAACAAAACAAAAAATTAAATAATTAATATTAGTTCAAATGAACACCAACACATATTTTAAACTAACAAAACTGCTAGTCATTCTGCTAGGCTAATAATCAAGACAAACCTTATATTTCAGAACAGAATCGATGTACCAATCTTTATATATATATATATATATATATATATATATATATATATATAAAAACTAATATTAGCTAAAATGAACACACACATTAGTTTTAACAATCCAGAAAGCAACATTTCTGAGCCAACAAATAAAACTAATCTTTAATTAATTTTTTTGTTCTCCAATTACCCACAAACAAAATCACAATCAAATAAATCAACCTAACAAAAACTGCTAGTCATTCTGCTAGACCAGGGGTGTCCAAGCTCGGTGTCCGGCAGATTTTAACTCCAACTTACTGCAACGCACCTGCAAGGATGTGTTTAGAAAGCCTAGTAAGAGCTTGATTAGTTAGGCTAGCAGTGTCTGATTGGGGTTGGAACTAAACTTTGCACGACACCGGCCCACCAAGACCGAGTCTAAACATCCCTGTGCTAAACTAATAACCCCCCTAAAGACACATCCCTAATTTCAAAACACAACCATTGCATCATAATCAAACAAAAACCACTAAGATTAGCAAAAATCAACAAACTCATAACAGATTCATGTGTTAGCTTTATAGCTTTATGTGTTTATAGCTGACTGATGAAGTTTAAACCATTCAGAATGCAACATTTTTAGAGCTGACGAGCAAAACTTACACAATATTTACATCTAAACAAATGCTAAGTTATATGTTTGGTACCTAAATACCGTGCAAACAAAGTCACAACCAATACACAACCAAACAAAAACTGCTAGTCATTCTGCTAGGCTAATAACCAAGACACACCCCTCATCATTTCACCAATGAAGGCTGATATCCACAGATGGTGGGTTGGTATCAAATGTACCCAAGAGCGGCGTCAAGGCTTTACCTGGCAGCTGAATCAGCGTGTTGCCCGTCTGTGCGTACTGCCACCTGTGGTTGTCCAAAAGTGACGCCACATTGCCGTTCCACCAGCTGGACAGCGAATCCGTGTCCTCAACAGCACCGCAGTGCAGGTACATGCCTACGAATTATGACACTCCGCTGAGCGTGAACTCCAAAAACTCACAGGGATTCCTGAACGGGTCGCGTAAACCATGACAAGTGCCTTGAAGCATTCGTCCAGATAGCTCGGCTCTGCGTGAGATACGTGCTCCTGCTATGCTAAGCCTGGCATATGTAAGCCCCCGCTAACAGTGGATTTGCAGGAGAATAGGCTTTGTGCGGGACTGTTGCTAATCTTAATACTCAACAGAGTGACCAGTTTAACCTGAGAGCAGTGGGTTGTCACATTATGACTAGCTCATTTAGCATTTTAGCACACACAAAAATAATAATTAATAATAAGTAGCGCTAATGCTTAAGTTTCTAAAGCAGGGGTGTCCGAACTCAGTCCTGGAGGGCCGGTGTCCTGCAAATTTTAGTTCCAACCCCAATTAAACACACCTGAACCAGCTAATCATTCTCTTTCTAGATATACTAGACGTCCAGGCAGTTGTGTTGGAGGAAGTTAAACTATGCAGGACACCAGCCCTCCAGGATCGAGTTTGGACACACCTAATGTAAAGTGTTGCTTTGAAGTCTGCATGAATCGGAAGCTGCAGCCGTTTGTTTCGTATTGTGATGCAGCTTATAAAGAAACTAAATATTAAATGAGAAAACAGTGGGCGTAGCTTGTTTTTTCTGCTGCAAGCTGATTGGATGTAGTAAAGTAGGTGTTTTTATTCAGAAACATAGTGAAAAGGGTTTCTGGAGAGTTATTAGAACCTAACAGACACCTTCAGCTCACCATTTCTGTTTGTTGACTGACAGGTGGAGGGGCGTGGTTAAGTATGTTAGCCACGCCCAATACCTCAGAGAGACTTTGGCTGTTTCTCAATATGCGTACTGAAGAGCGGTGTTGTCGTGCGCGTTCTGATCAGCGGTGGTGTCGCAGCACCTACTGAAGGGCGGGACCGAGGGTGTGTCGCGTCGCGGGGGCACTTTTTATCATTTTGGAAGGGCACTTTCTATCCAAGACTAAAAAGGGCATGTGCTCTGCACAGGTTGAGCCCTATGTGTGCATGTGCCTGGATATCGAGGACGCACCGATGCAGACTTGAGCACCGAACTCGCTCTGGAAGTCCCAGAAGTCATTGCGACTGGAGTTGGGAAGCACTGCTTTTATCTAGATTTATTATTAAAGTTCATAGATATTAATTATTTACCTCAGGAGTTTCCCTAAATGAAACGGTGAAAGTAAACATTACCACGGACATCTTAATAAAGGAATAAACACAATAAGGGTGTTTGTTTGCTGAAATTGGTATTAAAATCTATTTTATTTATATTGTGCAACACATATTTATAATGTTTTTATGCAAAGTATATATTTTGAAAAGGGGAAAAACAATAAATCGTTGTATGAAGGCTGTAATGTTTAAATAATTTACCATTTAAAACACGTGAAGGTCATGTGACCATCAGGAAGAACGCAGCATCTCAATTCTCAAAGGACGCATTCTCTGCCCTCGCGGTCTCCTGAGTTCGTTCTTCCGAGGACACCTGGCAAGACCGCTCTCCACAAGAACACAAGTCCGTTCTCTGCGTTCTTGGAATTGAGAAACAGCCATAATCTGAGCATTTAACTGAAAGAGTGTATTTTTAAGGTCAAGAGTGTATTTTTAAGGTCAAGAGTGTATTTTTAAGGCTTGTTTGTGTTTATAAGATGCAACGCAATGTGTGCTCATTCTTCATTTGTAGAAGATAACATTATTTTTGCATATATCTTACTTTGATTATATACAGCTACTTAGCTAACATGAAAGTGACTGTCATATTTCCATTACAGGTTCTAGGGGGTGGGTGTAAACAAGCTTGGCCCCCCTAAATTTGGACCAGTAATTTTGTGTCAAAACGCAGTGTCTGCTTTCGCCTGCACTCGCTTTCTTTGTCACTGGCAGTGCTGCGAGCATCAGTTCCTTAACCTCCAAATTGACACATAATAAAAAGATTTAACTTTAGTCATGTTCATGTTGTGACATTTAGGAAGTCCTTGGCCAATGGTGTAATGGTTAGTGCGTTGACACATGGCATTCTAGTGTTCACGGTGACCAGAGTTCGATTCCTGCCTCGAGTTCCTATGCCGATCCTTCCTCTCTCTCTGCTCCCCACGCTTTTCTGTCTATAGTCCTACCAATTAAAGGTGAATCTGTCATATTCAAGCATCTGTGTCTTGTATATGTTCGGCTCAAACCTTTTTGTTTTTATTAATCGAGCCAGTTTTGGGACATAGCAGTGTCCCTTTGCATTGAACTTTGAGCATATTACATTCATAGATGTTGTTTATGTTCACACATCCACATCACACATCAACTAAAGTTTAAAATATGGTATCATAGTTGACCACCCCTTTAATGACATGCATTGATGACCACAAAACTAGCAATGTGAGCTAACAAACATGGTTAGTTTTGATTTCATTTGTACTTCAAAAATACATCCTCTTTCAGATTCTCAAAGTAAAAACGAGGAAACTTAATTAGGGTTAAAAAAAAAAAAAAGTCTACATTTGACATGAAATGAGCAAGGAAAAATGGCAGAACTTGTTGACGGAGAAACAACTGCTCACACTGCAGGATTACATAGAAGCTGCTTAGAAAGTGATTAGCTGGAGTCTCGCCTCAGGCCTCCTCCCTTAAACCGGCCCACAACAGAAGGCCAGTATAAATGAGTAAACACACACATGCACACGCGCACACACACTATCGGTCAGTGAAAACTGACTTCATGAGGGACAACCAACAACCTATTAGTCCCACAAACAAATAGAGCTACAAGATTAAGCTCTAAAATGGCAACAAAAAAAGGCCTGCGCTATTATTCTGGTACTAAACAATAGGTTTTACTGTTTTATAATCAATAAAGGCCAATATTTTGTATAACTAAAAAAACAGTAAGTAATTTACTCACCCTCTGGGGTTAGGTGCGTCAACTGATTAGATTAGTTCTTATACTACACACTGAACACAGTGCAAGTCACTAGCTCTAATTTACTCGGGGGATGTTTTTCACCTCAAAAACATTTTCTGCTCAAGTTGACTTGTACGGGGAGATACAACTAATGCAGAGTTCAGACTGCTTGATTTAAGCCCTGAATTTGACCTGCCGACATGTTTTGAGAAATCACCAACAAATGTGACAAATTGGTGCTCGTTCACGTGGTGACAATCTCTCAGTATGAACTATCAAGGTCGCCGACGCCAATGAGTCGCCGACACGCGTGAGATATTTGGCATGCTAAATATCTGGAGCTGTCAGCGATTCTAAATCATACCGTGTGAAATGTGTTCAGATTGAAAATAACATCGGCGATCGCCTACAGCCAATGACGGAGCTGCATTCACTAGTACGGGTAACTGCAGGCCAGCGGGAGTTTGGGGGAGAAGTTAAAAGCGCTCATTTTCAGTTTATTTAGACCGAAGAAATAGAGGAAAAACTTGTGTAAACTTGGCAGGAGCACCGTCTGTTTAACGTGTCATCTGACCAATATCACAACCAGGTGGAAATGAGGAGAGATTGTTGATTATTTTTAAAAGCCAGGTGAGCAGTACAAGTTTATAAAGCTAAAGCCTTCTTTTTTCATTATGTAGTTATTAAAGAAAGATATTATGTGACCTCGGGTTGTTTCCATGTCACTTCTCGCATTTGTTTGGTTGCGAGAAATAGTTTGGACAAAGTTGTCTGCGATTCTTTGATTTTAAAGTCATCCAGTGTGAACTCTTCTGTCGCCGATCCATCCAACAGTGTAAACACCGCACAGACAGAACGCTACCCTAGATAGTCATGCAGTGTGAAAACATCTGTGACACGACTACTTTGAAAATCGTGCAGTCTGAACTCTGCATAAGGTGAATTCTGTGTGTTCCCAGCAAACAAATCCACTTCATGCCCAGTGGAACATTGGATTTTTCTCAACACTGGATTTTGTTCACAAAACCTTCTACCATATATCTAGAACACTTAAGCATTCAACATAATTCTGGACGTTTCTTTAAAAGCTTAATGCTGGTCAGTATTCAATGTGATTGTATGGGTGAGCATAGGCTTTCTGCAGTTATAAAAAAAAAAGAAAGAAAGAAGAGAATACACTATCAAAACAAACTAAGGTGAGTATCCTCAATTTTTTATTTTAGGAGAACTATCCTTTTTAAATTCTCAAATTTAAAAGCAACTGTTTTGAAATGGTACAAATGAATCCAGGCATCACCTCACTATAATACACAGCAAGATTAATGCATGACGAATGAATCATTGGTGTTAATGTACTATAAAGGGTGTTGTCTAGCTCTGAAATTAAATAAAGGAAGTGGAGAAAGCAAGGCTGCAAATATAAGAACAGAATGTTCCTCTTTCAATATGAATAAAAAAAGAAGTGTCACAATTCTCTAACGCTATTAAAATTACATTTATTGTAAAGAAAGCAATGTAATGGTAATAACAACAATAATAAAAACAATAATAATTATTATTATATTTATGTTTGTTTAATAATAATAATAATAATAAAGCAATTTTAATTATAATAATAAACAATAATAGTAACAATATTCACAATCATAATAATAATCATAATATTGCTAATACAGCAATATTATTCATAATCATACCAACAAAACATCAATTTTAGTAACAATATTTATAATAATTCTTTATATTTATATAACATAATACTAATAATAATTAAGACATTTTAGTAATAATAATAATAATTATAATTAAATAACAACTAAATAATAATAATAATAAAGAAATAATAATAATAATAATAATATAATAATAATAATAATAATTCCTTACATTTCTATAACATGATAATAAAAATTAAGCAATTTTTGTAATAATACAAGACAAATAATAATAATTAAACAATTTATTTTACAATTTATTAATAAAATTAAAGCTGTATTGTTAGCAATATTATTATTGAAATAATAATTATACAAATAAAATAATAATAATAATTTCTTATTTTTATATAACACTACTAATAATAACAAAGAAATTTTAATAATAATAATAATAATAATAATAATAATACAGATATATTAATAAATATATTAATAATAACAATATACTATTACTACTACTATTACTACTACTACTACTACTACTACTTATAATAATAATAATAATACAGCTATAGTATTATTAAAAATAATACAAATAATAATA